AAGAAGCGTGATATGGCTGAGCTAGCGCGCCTAAAGAAGGGCCTTCCCGCGCTAGGTGTGGCTGAGCAGACCGCTGAACAGGGCTCTGGGCTTGCTGGAATTGGAGTCAAGGGCAAGGACCACACCCCTGCTGAGAGTATGATGGTCTCATCTGGATCGGAATCGGAATCGGAAAGCGAAGATGAGATTGATAAAGAGCTTTTCGGGGCCAAAGCCAGGAAGCCTGATGCGGTTAAGGCATACGAGGAAAGCAAGCGGATGTCATTGAAGCAACAAGGGCCAGTCAAGAAGATCAAGCAAGTGCGGTCTGCAAAAGATATGCGTGCACGACTCGCCCCCGATCTCTCCTCTTTGCACCGCACAATACTTGCCTGGGACTTCTTCGCGAATGGCGATCTTCCGCCAAACTCCGGACGTACGGATTACAGCCTAGTTTCTAACGCTTTCAGAGACCCTGTTGAGTATCAAAGAACATTCGAGCCGCTCCTTATCCTGGAGGCATGGCAAGGATTCCAGTCCTCAAAGGAAGAGGGTACATTTAAGCCTTTTGAAGTGAAAGTTGCCACGCGGTTGTCTGTGGATTCGTTCGTCGAAGTCAGTACGGCTATACCAGCTATGGAGGCCAAGGACTTTGGGCTTGGTGAAGCCGACATTGTCCTGCTGTCGAAAGCAAGCTCACCGACCGGCGATTCATCAGCTCCTCATTGCTTAGCCAGGGTCTCTGGCATCAACAGAAAGAAGGGAATGGTCGAGATTTCCTATAGAGTCAACCCCGGTAATCCTTTCATCAATTCTCTTGGTCCGGGAGCCATAATCTGGGGCGCAAAGATTACGTCCCTAACCCCACTGGAACGTGAATATGGTGCACTCATGGCTTTGCAGTATTATGACCTCTGTGAAGAGATTGTAAGAGCGAAGCCGTCACCGATCCTGAATTACTCAGATGCCAGTCTGAAGCCCATTGCAGAGAATTATACAGTCAATTCTGCACAAGCCAAAGCAATCAAGTCTGCGCTTGATAATGATGCTTTCACTCTAATACAGGGACCTCCAGGATCTGGAAAGACCAAGACAATTGTGGCACTCGTGGGTGCCTTATTGAGTAATGTCCTTGGTAACCAAGGTGTTGCTATTTCACGGCCCATGGGAAATGCCAAGCCCGCTGGTGGAAGGACGACTACATCGAAGAAACTCTTGGTTTGCGCTCCCAGTAATGCCGCTGTTGACGAGTTGGTCATGAGATTCAAGGAGGGAGTGAAGACTATACATGGTCGTCAGGAGAAGCTCTCCGTTATCCGCTTAGGAAGAAGCGATGCTATCAACACTAATGTACTTGACGTCACCCTAGATGAGTTGGTCAACGCTAGGTTGAACCAGACAGCACGCAAAGATCCAGGGGAGCGCGATCTACAGAAAATCTACATGGAGCACAAAGCTGCAGATACCGCTTTCAAGGAGACTCGGGCTCGGATGGATCAGTGCCGAGCACAAGGGTTGCCCGTTCCTGCGGAGTTGGAGCGAGAATTTGACCTGCTAAAGAAGAAGAAGACACAACTGAGTCAGGAGATTGATAGCGCCAGAGACAAGAACCACTCGGCAGCCCGAGACGCTGAACTAACTAGGCGACGCATTCAGCAGGAGATCATCGATGGCGCTCATGTTATATGTGCGACGCTGAGCGGAAGTGGCCACGAAATGTTCCAAAACCTCAGCATCGAGTTCGAAACCGTTGTTATTGATGAAGCGGCACAGTCGATTGAATTGAGTGCGTTGATCCCGTTGAAGTATGGTTGTTCTAAATGTATTCTCGTCGGTGATCCCAAGCAATTACCGCCAACTGTCTTGTCAAAGGTCGCTTCGAAGTTCCAATACGAGCAAAGTCTGTTCGTCAGAATGCAAGCCAACCACCCGAGGGATGTGCATTTGCTGGATATCCAATACCGCATGCATCCAGAAATTAGTGCATTCCCTAGTTCTGCGTTCTACGATGGCCGACTACAAGATGGTCCTAATATGGCTCAACTTCGCGTTCGGCCTTGGCATCAAAGTGAACTTCTCAGCCCTTACCGATTTTTCGACGTGCAAGGTCTTCACCAGAGTGCTGCAAAGGGACACTCGTTGATCAACATAGCAGAACTTAGGGTGGCTATGCAGCTGTATGAACGATTGGTGACAGATTTCCGTGCCTTCAATTTCGATCGGAAGATCGGTATCATTACGCCATATAAGGGCCAACTGAGAGAACTCAAGACACAGTTCGCTGCCAGATATGGCAACGAGATCTTCAACAAAATCGACTTCAACACAACGGATGCTTTCCAGGGTAGAGAAAGCGAAGTTATCATCTTTTCTTGTGTGCGAGCCTCCAATAAAGGCATAGGTTTCTTGGCCGACATTCGTCGTATGAACGTCGGTCTCACACGTGCCAAGTCATCTCTTTGGGTTCTGGGAAATTCTCAGGCGCTTGTCCAAGGCGAGTTTTGGAATGGTTTAATCAAAGACGCACGCCGAAGGAATGTATATACGGATGGTGATGTACTCAAGATACTCCAGCGGCCACAGTTCACTGGGTATCAGAACGTCGACATGCTGGATGCACAGACTGAGGCTTCAGTGGTGCAGTCGAGGGCTGCATCGGCTGCACCTGTCTCACGACCTTCGTCAGCATCTGCGCGTAACTCCCCATCAGTGTCTGTTTCCGAACAAGAAACTCCTCCGGTGCCTCCCGATGGCCCATCTGGAGGCGGAAATGGCCTGGATGAGACCCGCACGTGCGGATATTGTGGAAGTTTCGCTCACATGACACATAACTGCGACAATATTGACGCAAAAGAGGCAACCAGGGGTACCTGCCACAGATGTGGGGAAACTGGGCACACACGCTTCCATTGTACTGCTCCGCGATGTGTGGAATGCGGACAGTTTGGACATGTCTCACGCGAGTGCCGATCCACTAAGACTCTACCGAAACATGAGAGATCCAAAATTGCGCGGGAGGAGTCCTATCACGTACAGAACCAGAAGCAAAGAACGGAGCGCCAACGACAAAGGCAACTCGGAGGTCATGATCCCAAGGTGCCTGTTGTCCAAGCTACGCCGAGTGATGATAGCAGTGGCCCAGTAAAGAGGAAACGTAACGACTCGCCACCGACAAACGCTTCGAAGGCCTCGCGGCCGCGGACTGATAAAGCAAACGCTCCTCCACCCGAGGCTTCCAAGGGTCCGCGACGTGGCAAGATTGATGCTAACATTCCATCCAATACAGAGGTAAGAGGTAACCTGTACACTTACTTGCGATAACAACTAACCACTTCTGTAGGGATTGGTAAGACCATCTCGGGATGGCCCAGCGTATGGTCCTCTTGACAAAGGCAAAGCTATCAACGGTCCTCAACCAGCACCGGGCCCCGCCAACGTATGTTTGGTCTCCATATGAGCATATGACACACTGTTTACTAATTTGATTTTGCCTGTAGGCACCCCCACGTTCTGGACCACCAAGACCCGGGAATGGCGCTCGACCTCCCCCGATGCGGAAAAAGAAGGAAGCCGATCCATTCATTAGGCCAAAGCGGAGATAGATAATGCGATGCCTCATGGCAGTTTGGCATATCCATCCTCGCTATGTTTTCTTTTCTCTTCTCTTCTCTTCTTTACTTTTTTCTTTTGGGAGACCTATCACACACTCCATGGGTCTAATGACCGACAGTATGACATGTTGGTCCTTTACTTGCATGCATATGAGCGAGCATGGCGGCTTTTCAGTGTCTTTACCCCATTCTGTTTGATTCTGTATATGCATTCGGGCCGTCTTACTTGGATGTCACGCTTCCATCATGTACACCTTTTCTTTTTTTTTCTTTCCTACTTAGGGATAAGGTTCGAAGGCTCGTGAGCATATGGGATTCTGGAATACTCGAAGAAGGCCAGAGTTTCAGTGGCGTTTTTGTTTGACATGGGGTTTGTTGACTTTCTGTTCTACTTTGTCTTATTTTCCTTCTGCAGAGGACAAGCGATGGCGGGAAAAGGCTGACAGAGTGTGCTTGTCCAAACATACCCTTAGACGTGAATGGCCCCCGGCTTTGGCATTTTCTTTTCTGCTTCTTACCCCTTTCAGGATAGATGAGGTCGATGTTGACGTTGGTCTTTGACAGATGGGAAGCCTATGCCCAGTGATGGGCATGGACTATTTGCTTGTCAAGGGTAGGAGCATGTATCAATGTGAGCTGACAGGCAACAGTTGCAGGTGCCCTTGACGACGACCAGGCTGATCGGAGAAAACCCGACCATCATCTGTCTGCTTCTACTCCGTACTCTGTCAGCTTCGGGAGTGCCATGTTGCATGGCTGTGGGTAGAAGATTGTGGAACATGGATTGGAATCTGATCCAATGCCCTGTCTTCAGGGGGTGTTCTTGTTCTCTCTCTTGGACCAGCATCAAGGCACCCTAGGGCGATGACGACGGATCATTCGTAAGCCGACTGGACCGATGGAGTCTTTGGTTGCGATTGCGATTCTGAATCTTTCCCTATCATGTAGACATTTACGACGGGTCCGAAGGGATCCCCGGGGACGCGGCACGCACCTGGGGACCAGTCGCATATTCAGCTGTCTGTCCGTAGATCAATTCCTTCAACTCGTCTGTCAGAGCCGAGCTTGGACGGGATGAGAAGGACCGGGGTCGTGTGAGTTGTCTAGCAGGTGGGCCATCATCAAGATCGGCTCTCATCTGGCGAGATGAACCGACATGCAGCTTTCTAAGAACTGTAGCTTACTGTGTAGCCATCTCCCGCCACCCGCCACTACTACTACTACTACTACCCCTACGACTAGTCTCAGTAGACTAAGTAGGACATGATGTGAGAGTACTAGTATCCAGAGTGGACGCGGATGCAACATGGGAAAGGCAGCAAGCAGCATGCAGGTGTCCCACCTTGCGGCTGTGCGATCGGAGAATTTTCTCTTCGGACAACACACGGACGGTGTCGTTCAGCAGGTCATCGTGAGGATCGCGAATGAAGGACCAGTGGTTCCTGGAGGACGAGCGATTGCATGAACTATCTGCTGCAAGGGAGAGCCACTAGTTTGGATCTTCTCTTCCAGTTCCCTTTTCCACTTTGGTCCTCATGCAGTTCGTTCTCCCGCGTCCGGTCTTCTTTCTTTCTTTCTTTCCCATCTGCCGGTTTTGTTTTTCCTGAAGTTCGTGCTTTCTCCAATTCTTCATGCTCTCTTTTTTTTTTCTCTTCTCCCCCCACAACACACTAGTCCTGTCTGCGTCTGCATCTACATGTACTGCTAGTCGGGGCATAGGGGAAAAACGATGGGATGTGGAGCACAGAAAGCAAACATGCCGTCCCCGAACACGAACCATTCGCTGCGCGGCCCACTTTGTTTGGCTGGAAAGGAGAGGAAGAGAAAGAAAGAAACAGAGAGATTATTAGGGGGGTGTAGTGAAAAATGCCAGGGTCACCGGATGGAAAGAAAACCTAAGCACATACATACAGAACTTGGTGGTGCTTATTCCGGCCTCGGCGGCTCTCAATTCTTTGTTTGGCAGCTCGTCTATGCCGTCGATAGTTGTGAACACTATTTCGTTCATTCATCGGGAAGTTGGTTGAGAAAGGAAAACTACTTTTAAACTTCCATTCCCTGTCCCAATTGGTTAGTTACTTTGGTTACTTGCGTGGAAAGTACTAAGTAGTAGGTAGTAGGAGTAGTGGTAGTAGTGAAGCCCGGAGACATTGATTGATCGATTGATCGATTGATTGCTTTTCCATTGATTGAATCCCCGAGCTTAGCTTAGCCAGCTAGCCAGCTAGCTAGCTAGTCTAGTAGTTATCTCACTAGGTATAGTTACCTACCTATCTACCGAACTACCTACCATTGTTATTTCTGGACAGGAAGGGGAGAAGTCGAGAAGGTTCAGTTTTGTGGTGGTGATTTACACCGTTACTTTCGATTTATTGATCAGTGGTGGCCTCACTGCCCGACGGTACTAATAAGCAATCTCAGGAATCTCTCCGGGGGGTGGCATTTCCCTCGTAATGATCGACCCAAATTGCTGGGATTGACCGGCAAGGGCGTTCATGTTGTCCTACGCGAACTTGTTCGTATAATCTGAGGAAATGTGAAGTTGATCGATGATGGAGGAAGTGACGATCACAAGAGCGTTGGTGGAGACTGATGAATATTTCGTTTATTTTATTTTGTGTTATTTCTATCATTAGTTTGAGGGGGGAGGAAGGGAAATTGGGAGGATCCAGAATACTACCCATTCCAAGCCATGTTCCCGATGTGATGTGTAACCCTTTTAATTAACTACGGAGTACTATACTAGTATATAGATCCCGAAGAAATTTTTAGTTTAGAAACGGGATGGACACATAGTACTAGGAAAGTAGATAGAGAGAACAGAATAGATAGATAGATGGATTGATTGATCGTTTAGGTGTGGAATCACTACTACTAACTAATCTACAGTAGACGACTTAGTGTAGTTTGAAGGTGGCTAAAAGTTGGACTAGTACTCTCGTAGCGTGTTTTTGGTTTGTTCGGCATCAACTTTTTTTGACTTGCCAATCCCCACTTCTTTGGCTAATCTTGTCTGTGCATCTGTCACATTTCTTCTTCCATTTGACTCCCTAAATTTGGTCCATGCCTTACGGTTGCCGATGATCCACAGATGATACCTCACATTCCTATCCCTCTTTGCTTCACTCGGGATTGTTCTCGCCAACCGTTAACTGCCTTTCGGGATAAGGACCTCCTTCTCCTGCTACTCCTTCTCTCTCCACTCCCTCCTCCCCTCTTTGCCCCCCAAGGAGGAGGTGGAGAGGTGAAAGAGAGTGAGAGAGGGCGTGAGATTGAGTGTGTGAGAGAGTGAGAGTGTGAGTGAGCTAGGGCCCTCTCTCTTCCCCCCTCCCCTCATCCTCCTCATCCTCTTCCCCCCTCCGCCAATCCCCATCACATATCCCTTACTTGTAACGGTTCGCAGGAATAAACTGGTTGGCAACCGCTGAAGATAGGAGTCGGCGACAAGTTTCAACGTCACACGAGACTGGAAGCTGAATGCCGATCCGACAGCCCGCTGGACTGGCCCTCTCTGTTGCTTTCTCGCTCTCTCCTCTTCACGCCCAGTCCGACAGCAAATCCCAGTGACTCCACATACGTACTACGAAGTAAATCCAAGAAGAAAATGAACGATTCAATTTGTTGGTCTGACAGGGATCAGCTTGTCCTGACTCAATGCAGCCCCGGTTCCATGCAGCTGGACCAACAGAAAATCCTCAAACTAACTGGCTGGCTATTCAAGTATCTAGTATCTATCCAACTGAACTACCGAGCTAAAGTAGCTAAACGCGACTAAAGCAGCTCCTCTCGAGGCTAGTGACTCGGGCTAACGAAGTGCAGCCTGGACGATCCCAGGAGCATGGATGACGAAAATCCGCGATGCGCGCGCCCTGCAATGGGCGCGGCGGACAGACGCTTGACTGACTGAACTGACTATCATCCACTTGACAGGAGGAGGAGGAGGAGCTGCTCAGCCGAGCAAATAGTCGCTCGCTGGCCTTCTTTCTTCTTGTCATTCGACGCCATCATCGGCCTCCTTCCCCCGATCGAGAGCGCCTGGCACGGACTCGATCGTTGCTCCTCTCTAACGTTTCTTTCTTTTTCTGGGTTCTATTTGGATCCTGCTCGTCATATTTTCCTCTTTAACGAAATATTCTTATTTTTATTTTTATTTTTATTTTTATTATCCAATTCCTTTCCGTTTTTCTTTATTATCATCATTCTTTTTTTAATTTCTGATTTTATTTTATTTTTATTTTATTTTCCCTTTTCCTTCCTTTTTATTCTTCTTTTTTTGTGCTTCACAGTATTATCCTGGCCGCTCAGTGCTTCTCTGCTCTGCCTTTCCCTTCCCTTTCCCTTCCATTTCACCCCCCCTCTCCCTTGGTGTTTCAACCAATAATGACTCCACCAACCTTGCTTTGCCCCCCTCTCCCCTTTCACCTGTTCTTGTAGGGCCCTTGAATGCCTGCCACCCTTGTCTTGGGCCCCGGTTACACTATCTAGATCCAACTCTATCGTTCAAGCTATCGGGAACGAGGAAGGCTCGTCATTGACGATGCATCAACTCCGCATACGGAGGGGACATCGTTAGCCCGTCAGACCTTACCAGGGTGCTGTGCACACCCCCCCCCTCCCCCCCGACTCCAACAGCAAGGGTCTGACAGCTCCTCGAGATTCCTGTGTGAACCCTTCATAAAATCCTGGTTTCCTCTCTCCCCTCGACCTGCCTTTTTCTTTTCCTGCCGGATACCTTGCTGCTCGCTCCGGCGTTGGCAATTCCAAACCTTGACTACTCTGCTCTTCTGTACATACATGCATGCCTCTCTCATCAATTGCATCATTGCTACTGCTATTCCCGCTTTTACTCTTGCGTCTATCTATATCCCGCCTCTTGAGCTAGTGGACTGGCCGCATTACCTGCATGTCCTCATCATCCATCTGATCATATCCGACTGTCTGCCCCAAAGCGGCCATTAACCCACGCGGGATTCACTTTCAACCGCTCGGACAGGCTCACCTCTGGACTGTCTGTGGTTACCATTGACATTCAGTTTAGACTAGTGGCGGGAGGTTCACCTGCATAAATACCCAGCGGCTGAAGAGCAGCTGCAAGTCCCATGCAGCAAAGCAACGGTTCCCATGACAGCTTAATTGCCCCGAGTCCAATTGTCCCAACTGGTCGGCCGAGTTCCCTGAACACCTCCAGAAGCGCCTGCACCATGTCGTCCCTGGCACACGAACCTCGGCAGTCCCGGGATACCCTCCAATCCTCCGAACATCTCGACCTGCGAGATGAGAATGCAACCGATTTCACCAAGTTTATCGAATCGCAAGGCCCCATCACCGGATCCACTGGAGCCCGGGAGATGCTCAAGGCCGGCCAGAGACGGCTTCGACAACTCGCTCAGCGCCCGAAAAAGAGTACTGACCCCAGGTCGAAGGCCGAAGAGTCAGCGCGGCAACTGCTTGCCCTTCAGGAAGGAGGCTTCTTGCCGACGAATGTTGCTGTTCCTGCTGGCGTACCCTCCAAGCGGTCGACCCACAAGAAAAGCCTGGACTCGAGCCGGTCTTCCTCCCGTTCTATTTCCAACCTCAGTTTCATGGCGAACTCTAGACGGGATGTAGAAAGCATTGGACAGCCGTGGCTCACGGATCCACTCGAAAAGAAGGACAGACCGGAGGTTAGCACAAATCATTTGTCTGCGCTGGATCTACGGGAGCTGACATCTTTGGTGGAGGCTGCGGTGACCATTCCCCCGCGCTTCGATGACACGAATCCCCCGCCGTACCAGCCACCCGTACCGGCGAAGGATGTCAAAGCGGATGCACAGCGCGAGAACCAGGACCCTGCGGTTGCTATTACCGTCGCCGACACCACATCCGGATTCAAGGAGAAACAGTCGCTCGGATTCAGCGACGCGGCGAACCCCAGCATCCAAGTCGACAGCAGTGAAGAGCAAGGACCCGACACACGGTCTGAGGATAATGTGCCAAAAGATGAAAAGGCATCAGACAATGACCAGGTAGGTCAATTCCTTGCGCGTCTGAAATATGCAAGTCTAACTTTATACAGTCTGGTCTCAAGACAGATGAAGGCGCAATGTCGCCAGATCTCGTGATCGACTCAGAGGTAGCCAACAAGCCTGCTACGAGCTCGTCTGGTAGCTCTTCAACACCGACAAGCCAAACCACTCCTTCTTTGAAGCTTTTCCCAGACACAATGCCCCCGCGCAACTCGAGTAAAGGAGCCTGGCGCATCTCCAATGCTCGTTCGCTCACTCTCAACAGACCTCTCCCGGCGAGCCCCGATCCGGAGGAGCAAAGTAGCATGGACTCGAATAAAGAAAGTTCTCAAGCGACCGATAGCACCACAGTCAAAGAAGGCTGTGGTGCTCAGGAGGTATCTGAGCCGATACCATCTACTTCCGCTGACGTTGGGAAATCGGACAAGGAGCCTTTGGCAAATGAAAAGAATTCACCGAAGAAAGGATCTCGCCGACCTTCGTCCCTGCCAATGTGCACGATCGATGCGTTCCCCTTGCCAGCACCCATGAGACCCCTGCCTTCTCTTCCAGAATCAAATGCAGCGAGTGGTGCTTACAGTCGCAGCGCCTCTAGCAGGTCTGCGCCTCTTGCGAGACTGGTATTGGACGAGCGGAACCAAGCCTCTAATGCGCATGATGAATCGGCCAAGGCCACACCGGCTATGTCCAACTCTCTTCTCTTAGTACGGGCGGGGCTGAGTCGGGCCGAACGAGTTCATGCATTGAAGATGAGAGACATGTCGGCGAGCCGTCTCTATCTTAAGGAGTCGGAGACACCTCGTGAGGAGGAAGAGGAGGATGACCAGCCCCCGCGGAGTGCAAAGGAACCCGAAGAAGCAATGGCTCAGGAACGTGGGGAGGCATATGCCCCTAGGCCTGAGTCTGAAAAGTCGGCGAATCGCAATGTGCGCTATCAGCGAAAAGTCGCTTCGGACCCTCCATCCCCACCGCCACTCTCCCCTCCCCCCTCGAAGCCGTCAAGACACCAGATTAGCCAATCTATTGGCAGGCGTTACTGCAGCACACCTCTTACAGGTAGTGCAGTATTGGCGAGAGATTCTGAGCCGCAGATGCTCCCTGCCTCCAGGGACGCCCCCGTTCGTCGGAGTAGTAGCACTCGAAGCGTGACCTCTTCGCATGAGCGAGCGAGAAAGGAACAAGACCCCGTGGGCCGCTCCGACGTTCCCATTCCATCATCCGACGACGAGTGCACCAGCGCAAGCGCGCGCCAGGATCAAGCCCGTCCAACTTCTAGTCGACGCCGACGGATGAGACCAGCAACCCTCACCATGAATGAGCACCGCTCCCACAAGATGCGCGCGACAAGGAGGTCTTCCGACTACTGCTTGTCGCCAGGAAGCCACCGAACCCGTGCCTCCGGACGGGCGTCGCCACAGTCCCATCATACTCAGAGCTCCTATTATTCTCGGGACTCACGAAGCTCCCACCACGACACGATCAGGGCTCTTGAAGGGCGCATCGCGCACCTTGAACGACAGAACAAGATCCTCCAGGCCGCGCTTATGGCCGCGTTAGACGTGGGCAGTGTAGAAAGCCTGCTTGGGGGATCTGCTACCTCTCTATCTACTTTGGCGAACACGCCGGCAACCGGACGGTCTTTTTCGTCTACGAACAGCTCCAGCTTGGACGAGTCGATGGTGGACGACCGTCGGCGTAGTCGCAGACGGCAGCCACCCTTCCGTCCAACCAGCTGGATAGCGAGCCCGGTCTCTAGCAGACGGGGCAGCTATGATACCGAAGACAGTGAGAATGTGAGGGAATTGGAGGATATGATTGAAGATTTTGATATGGATTGGATGTCTGAAAGGTCGAATCCTTCGAGCTTTCAGATGTCCTGAAGTTGATGTCAAATGGCGTAATGGCGATTGTTGATGTTTTTACCACGCTCTTTGAAATGTTGATCTTAGGATGAGGATTTATGCGCGTCCCTGGTGGACGGATTTTGTCTCCGATGTCATTCCCTGTTACTTGCAGATATTTCCTATGTTGTTTTGTTGCACGATACCACTTTGTTTTTAGTTGATTTACCTTGAATATACTACTATTTCCTACGTCATTCGCAACATCGTACTAGAAGAGAGCCCCTGCTCGTGCAATCAGAGACTGTAAATGTAATGCACTGAATGGATATTCCATAGAAAATAGGCAGACCTACAAAAGGGGTTTACGGAGGAAGTAGTTTCACAATAAGTGGTGCTCCAGTCAACGACGCCGCGCAAAGACCACGGACCAGCACCTAAGGCCACGCACTAGCGACTCCGGAGAATTGTTGATCACCACCACCACCAGCGCAACTCCTAACTTCCAGCCAAACCAACATACTCACCAATCAGCCTCTACACCAGATATACACTCCAACGCAAAAGCATGCGATAATTAATTTCCACTCCAACCAATACACAAAACACCCACCATACACTCAGCCAAAACCCACCACGAAAGCAACACAATGACACTCCTACCACCAACAACAACAACAACGTCAACAGTACGCCCTTTCCCCTCCCCCTCCCCCTCCCCCTCACAACCAACCAACCAACCAACAAACAAAACCCAGAACAATAACAACAACAACAATCTAACTCTTCAATGAATAGACCCAAATCCCCCAACATGTAACCGCTCTCCTCTCGCACCTCACCTCCCGCCCCGGCGTCCAATCCACCTTCATCCTCTCCCGCAAAGACGGCTCCATAATCCAGAGTACCGGACTGTATGCGAAACCGCCATCTCCTTCTCCTTCAAGTGCAGCTGCAGCTGCGGCGCAGCAATCACCGCGCACAGAGACCATCTCCGCACCTGTAGACGGAACCGAGCCGCAGACTGAAACTGAAGCTGGAACTGAGCCCGCGCCCACCGAAACGGATGCTGCTCAACCCCCGACTACGAAACAGCCACAGCAACAGCAGCAGAAAAAAGAAGAGACAACGCAACCGTATCAGCCGTCGCAGGGCGAGGCTCTGGCGGCGCATATCTTTGCGTTTGTGGCTAGTGCGTCGGAACTTAGTCTTGCGCTGTCTGGGGCGGAGGATGATGGGGATGGGGATGGGGTTGTTAGACAGGTGGATGGTGGGGTTTCTGGGGATGGAGGAAGTGGCTCTGGTGCTGGTGCTGGTGCTGGGGAGAAGGAAGAGGGCGATGATGAGGTCAAGTTGTTAAGGTTGAGGACGAAGAGGCATGAGATTGTTGTCGTGCCGGATAGGAAGTTTTTGCTTTGTGTGGTGCATGATGCGCATCATGGGGGTGTTGGGGCTGGTGCGAGTGGGGGTGCGGCTGCGGGGAGGAAGTAATTGGTATTACTCATGGTTTGGTTTGGGGCTGGTTAATGGATGTTGGTAGGTAGGGGGTGACGGTGGTGGTGATTGATGAATGGATGGATGGATATACCCGGAGTGTTTTTTCGTGTGTCTTAGGGTTAGTGATGGTGGTGGTGGTAGTTTACTTCTTTGTGTATGTTGTTGAATGTACAGGTTTAATTTGTGATTCTGTTCATGCAGCGGTACTTCACTGGTTGGGAGAGTCTCGACCTGAGTCTGGATTGATAGAATCAGTTCATACGGGATTGATACGAAAGTGAAGGGTTTACTGGTCGTCGCGGCGCTGCAATAGTGACCGACTAAGCAGTATAGCAGTGACGAGTCAGCGATTGTAATGAATATGGTATCATCAGGACGTGAATCCCGCTGCCTGATCAACACGAACTTCACACAAAAGCAACACGTCCTTCACGTTGACACTTCACACTTCATCCTCACTGTCACTGCCTCACAAATGGGGGATAAAAAGCCTCTTCTCTCTCCTTCCTGATTCTCCCCAGAGCATCATCATCCAGGCCTCTGTCTTCTTATATACACATTAAACATTCATTCTTCATATATCAACTCCTCATCTTATACTCAATCAGGAAGTCACATCCATCCTGACATTCAACTACTATCTATCACAACGTCAAAGACACCACACACTGCTCGGCTGCCTCGCAGCTGAATACTGTCTTCGGGCTCTGGCGTACTCGGCACAGAACCCTCTCAAGCAACTTGCTTCGACACTGTCGACAGTGCCAATATATAAGACTGGGAATAAGCCATGTCACTCCCTATCCCACATTCTTCTTCATAACACTTGTCTACCACATCCAGTATACAGGAGCCTGCAAGGACGTTTTCATCCTTCTCTTTGTGGTACTGACACACGAAGAATTCTTTCGTCAGCCTGGGCGCTCAACATCGCTTAAGCAATTCTTCTGAGTTCTGTGGACAGGTTAGACGAAGAAAGATTACTCAGGAATCCATCGTTGTGCCTGAATGCAGTGCAAGAAGAAAGGGCTAGTGGAAATATACAAAGATAATCATTCAGGCGTGATTATCAGAACTTTCATCTCATGCTCGGACTGAATGACCCAGACGAGCAAATTGCTTCTTTCGCGATACCCTCGTGATAGTGTGGCGGAAGCTGCTACGCAGGACACGTTGTATGAAGCATGGAGCACTGAAACAGCCTCTGGACACTGGGATATTCACTTCATGTCTGGGTATATGAGGCTGATTTCCTGGCATCCTACAGTCGCTCCTTGGGGCTGGCGGGATGCAATATACTGGGATCAAAAGATCTGATATATTCTGGACAGGATTCCCTTTGGTTTTAGAGCTGGTACATTGGTGAAGCAGCTCACACAATCATAGAAAAGGATACATCTAGAAAGACTCAACAGCTCAGTGGACGGGCTTTGAGGGGAGATAGCAGGCAATAGACTGTCTGACCCGAGTATAAGGAGGGATCCGACTTCAATCAAGGTGCAGTGTCTGCGAGAAAGAATTGCTTTTGAAACCCATGGTCGCAGAAGCCCCAGACTGAACATATACTGCTGGGGTTTGTGTACTACAGGTCATCGGTGTGGTCACTGCTCGGCAGCGTGGTCACCGTTCCGAATAGAAGGAACGAGCTTTTGCATAGGATGTGTCGATGTCTCTTCAGAACACTCAACATGAAAACTTCAATGTTGCATTATCGGGTCCGTGGGTCACAGACGCCCCGATGTCACTGGGTTAACAAACCGAAGAATGCTGGAAACATGCCGTCTTCGCTGGGTGATGATGCCTGTTACCGTGGGAGAGGAAAGAAGAGGATACAGGACAAAGGTAAGGTTTTGTATGACATGCCCTGTTTGTTTTTGGAGCTAACAAATTCTTCAGCAGGCTTCTGAATACAACATTGGTGCTCGATCGATTGAAATTGGAGATACTATAGAAGGCATGGCTGTGGTCAGCATACCTCGGGCCTACAAGTTCTATCATGTCGAATCTTAGGTTCTTGCTCAGAACCTTAATTGGAACAATGAGGGGACAAAGATGGCCTACAATCGACTCGAGAGCACATGGCTCTTTGGCTCCTGCTGCCAGTCGTTCAGATAAGAGGCAGAATCCGGTAATTGACAATATATTGGGCTAATGTGCACGGTAATAACCGGCTTATGGCAATTTCCGTCCTTCTCAAAAGCAGTCTCCGATCACATTGCTTGTGAGTACGAGCGATTGTCATGCCAAAAACATGTCTATAAAAGTTCTTCTGCGCCACATTGTCACCAGATCCTGGAATTACACCTAGAAAGGAGGCCCCAGCGACTTTGGCCGGGCCCGTACCGGGCCTTGGACATGACTGTGGCTGGCCATCCTTCGCCTTCATGCCAGTGTCTGGGTTCATATGGCTCGTTGCAAGGCCGAGGGAAAAGCTACGTCTGAGGTACGCATTCGCTCATTTTGCATAGTGATCTCGACGAGCGATCGGACTGATGATCGGCCACTGTTTCCTTTCCATATTTACTCACAGCCTCGGAATGATGAACCTGAATCATGGTACTAACATTCAGTCTTGCCAGTTGCTCTAGACACCACTTGAGTCCAGTCAACCGGTCCAATCCGGGCCATACTGGAAGGACTGAGGTCAAAGATGAGGATGGGATTGAGAAACAAGCAAGTCTCTTTTCTCATCTCATTGACGAAGAAATATATGGAGTTCTTGTCGAGCGAAGCATCAGAGACTCTGGAACCAGTCATGCCTCGTCATCCCTGGTTGTCATTATCGCATCCTCGCTATGTCTTCTGTCTTCTTCCATGGCCAACGCTTCGCCTAGGTCTCATCGCATGCATAAACATATTCCATCGTTTCAGATCTGCTACGATGAGGATGGCCGCGTTCTGGCTCTGCATTGTCCATTGGCGGAAGAGGATACAGTGGTGATACACTGAACTGGTCATATTACTGCCAGCATGATTCTGGCGTTCCACTGGCGCTGGAGATCGTCCATGGTACCCCCGAACAAGTACATCTCCTCGCAGACTTGGTGGCTGATCCGGAGCACAGAAACCTTCATGACTGTAGTAGAGGAAGATGAGCCTCGTATACAGTGTAGAGCTTCTCAAATCTTAGGGCGGGCAACATTACTCTTGATCTGGAAAAGACGTCCGACGCGCCAAATCACATCGAGAATCCAGCGACATTTTACCTTTCAGAAAGAAAGATTGACCGCCGAACAATGTCAAGAACATCATAGAGTAAACAAGATGATGGCAGGTTCTTCAACCCAAACGCTTATCACGGATATCATGCATCCGCCTCATGAATACATACATATGGAAGCAAGAAATATATCAACCGACCTTGGCAACCATGTCGTTCCAATGGCCTACTGTGGGTGCTTGGCGCAATGAGATACCCTCACTTGCCGATACTTGACCTTCGAGATGGAAGAAAACGTCCAGGGAAGTCCAACAGTATGCATCTGCATGGCAGCTCTCATTACCAAGATATCTTTGTGCAGCTGCCGTCTTTTCTCCCCTCGAGGCTCGTCTTCAAAACAGAAGAAAATGCAGCTTGGACGTAGATGTATGGCATCGGTATATACTAGCCATAGGATTGACTATACGGTATGCCCAATGGATCTCGACATAAACGTGCAAAATCATTCCAATGGCTTATACAAGCAAAAGGTAACAACAAGAAACCCGATTTTTATGGCTGTTGGAGCCTGTTCATTCTCGTCGGCTGTTACTGAGAATTCTCATCACGGTCGCGGCGAATGCGGACTACATGAAACCTACCATGCTTACTTCCAGCCGAGATCATGCTTGGAAAGATTGCTTTGAATTGTTACTGTTCTTGCAGAGAGCTACACATTATAACCGGAACGAGGCATTACAGGGACTACTTGGAATTCGCGAGTTCTCTGTTCTACAGTGTACAACAGCGGAAACAGCATGATTGGAGCGATACGAGAGAAGGCAAAGTGGGCCAAGGAATGTTGACATCCTGATAACTTTGGATGAGTATCTTCGGCTGCTGATGGTGCACCTTGTTGCTACAGATATGGCATCGAGAAATAACCACACTCGACAATTTCAGGGATCCTGGACCTTTCAAAACAGCGGTCTCGCAGCATTTTCCATATAAGAACAGCAATCCCAAACGATATATAGACGATGTCGAGCAACCGGCATGTGTCTGCTTCCGATGTTCGATGGGATATAGAGACACGAGGCGGCCGAAGAGCGTACGTGGAAGCAAGACCACACATTAGCGTCTGTTGCAGTGTGAAGCCATTAGTCGGGATGCAAAACTCAAAGGCACACTCTCCGTCGGTCTTAACATTCGCTTGCAACAAGGAAAGGTATCGGCTATAGTCCACTAAAGTCATATGTTCCTCTCACGACTATAACACCACGCCTACACCCTCAGTAGGTGCAGGCTTTACCCAACAGGAAGCGGTTTCCCAATATCCAGCGAGTGGCAACCAGCCTTCAGATAGACTGCTCACGGCAGATGACAATTCCATTGTACAGGGATCAGCGTCCCAGCTAAATGAGTGTTTCCAGGAGAATGGATATGCTTTACCAAATAGTCGGGTGAGTGAGGCACTGGAGATGACCAGAAACATAACTCGGGCAGTGTGAAACCCATACCATGCTGAAGCTCACAACCTTTGGCGTACTCAGACATTCATCGCACTATTCCATTAGGACAGGCACCTTGAAGCACCATCGAGTGGAAGCAGGGATTGATGAAATATGTCAATGGAAAGTGGCAAAACTAGACAATGTTTTAGCCAACTTTGTGTCCTCGCATAGGAAATATCACCATGGAATTCGGCATTATACACCCATGGCAAATCAAGTTACGGGTCTTTCTGTCCCCGGGCTTCACACATGGACCCGCGTGGGTACGTGGCATGCTGCGTGCTCCTGGGTGGCTTCCACTCCAGAGCAGAACAACAATCCATCGACGCGAAAGTCAAAAGTCCTGTTACGATATAGATAGCATTGATAAACTCTGCTACTTCGGATGAGCCATTACAGAGAAAGATCCCCGTGGCTATGTGGCTGCGCTTCGTGCTCCTGACATCCACTCCACACGAACAAGCAATCCAAAGACATATGGGAGTCTACTTAACTGCTACACTCGACTATAGAGTACCAATATGCTCTGCTACTTCGAAATGCGTCAACACCGAAAAGCCTGCGTAGGTATGTGGCTATGCTGCGTACTCCTATGGCGGTTCACCCCAGAACAAATCAACAATCTAACAACACAAAGCAGAGAAATTCCTGCTGCGAGTAACTATATAATACTGATTGGCTTTCGAACTTCCGAACGTCTTCATCAAAGGCCACAATTCACCTAGGAGGTTGTCGGCCAAGGCATAAGCGACAAGGCAACATCTAACGAAATGAAGCTGCATGAAAACATGGTGCCTAAACCCAGCGTCTAAAGCAATGGCACATCCTTGTTGTTGAATACTCCATCCGGATATAAACGACGATATGCATCAGTCACTGTCGATGTTGGGATGAGGACACGTTCATCTCATAAAAAATGCCAAGAGCAATCTTGATTCAGAGTGAATGTGAATCGTCAGAAAAAACAATATCGAATATGACATCTCACCGATCAAAACTTTGGAAAGAGGCAAAGGCGCTGCTTCATATAAAGAAAGGTACGGAGGCTCTACTGTAGCAGACTTTGCTCCTATTATGCCCTACCAGCGACCAAGATTCTATGATCGAACGATTCTAACGCTACGAGATCTGCGCTCATCCGCGGGTACGGGGGTACGCATACTCCAGCGATTGAAGTGGGACGGTCCAAACTTCCGCCTTTCTGAATCTCCCCAGGCATGTCTGGCAATCCACACCTCAGCTTTGAATCTTGGATGTGGTCTCTTTACCATTTTCAATTTTCCCGACAAATAGAGGCATTGCTGTGCACTGCAAAATGCTGTTGCATGTCCTCCGGGTGACGATCTTCGCTATTTGCAGTACCATCTCCGCTTATTAGTGCAGGTATAAGGGCACAATCTCGGTACTTCTCCTTCTCTCTCCAACTAGCTCACAGAGACAAGAAGCAGGTCGTGTACACCAGTTGGGACAGTGATGCGCTATGTCCAGATAGCGAGTCAAACGATGACCTCCGCACTGCTTATACCACCTCAGGTCTCATCTTATTTCGTCTTGACCATATGAATGCTCTCTTGTCTCTTTTGGACCACGCCTACTTCTTCCTAAATCTCCTCCCACCAGCATCGTGCCAACCACTGCAAGCAAGCGGTCTTTTCAAGGCGGTGGTGAAATTGAAAATGGACATGAACAGTCTGCCACGGTTGAAAGCTCCAGCAGTGTGACAGAAAGCATTCATAGTAAAGAGGAAAAAGAATCATGGGTCAAAACATGGCACTTCGGAAGAACACGACATTCGGTCTCCAAGAGCTACTTTTTAGGGATCCCTGGACTCCTGGACAAAAGAGAGGAGCTGCAAGGAGAATATGTCATATATCAACCTCTCCTCATATGACTAGTTACTTCGAGACTAGGTGAAAGTCGACTTGAAGTCCCGAAGCCTCCATAGCTCCGGCTACTCTCTAAAACGCTCGGTCAGAGTCAACAAAACCGGCAAGCCAGCCGGCAAAGCTCTTGGCTGGTCTGTGTCTCTCGCACAATGGCAAAGTGACAAATGCGTGGCTGATGTCTACGTGTTTCCCGCTCCGGAAATCAACTGAGGCCAACAAAAACATATCAGGAAAAGCGGTTCATACAATTCATGCCTTCGTTTATTCCTTCCCTTCATCTCGAACCAAATCTCAACTTGGTACATCTTGCACATGGGCTCGCTGCAGACCTTATCGCAGGTTACACACTATACGCTCATTCCCTAGATTCAACAGGTTCCATAGCTGACCAGGCTGCCAACTTGGTTATTTCAGCGGGAAGACGATTCCGAGTGTTTCGGGACTGTGCAACTACTCTCATACGAAGCTAGTGAGTGGGGTCCTTATCCTATGCATACAGGCCAGAAAATGGGTCGTTACTCGCATGAACTATGAAACTGTCTTCCTGACTCCGTCAATTGGCGGTTCATATTTCCTAAGTGATTCCGAAGGAATAGCCAAACCAGCTGATATGCACAAACGACCTGCAATATAAAAAGATATAATCACGCAATCTGCAGACGCCAGCTGAATTTACTAATTGAATTTCCGCCAACTAGAAGAAATATACAAAGCAACCGTGTCCCGCACCGGTGTTGCACCCAATACATACTAGCGCCACAGATGATGCAGGCTGCCTTGGCTGAAACGAACTATATCATCTATACCGAACGAATCTCAGAGACAATCCATGAAGCCAGCTGCATGGTGTTTCCATGCTTGGCTGTCGTGACCATCAAGTTCTGTCTCCTAATCGTCAATTCCGTCTGGATAACATGACACTCGCCAGTCAAGGGCAATTTGAATGACCCGTCAAGACAACGAAGACAACATGAACTTTATTCCCTGCTGGGTCCGTGAGTCATATACACTGGAATATTAGAAGAAGCCAGACATTGGGCTTCCTTCCAAGAAGATCCCACTTCGTCCGGAACTCAAAGGTGGAAAAGGAGAGACAAACCTTGAATTTACTCCCTGATGGAACTCTGGCCCGGAAGATACAAGTAACGGTGCCAGTAACAGCCAACTTGAACAATCATGTCTACAATGGCTTCCTCTCAACCACGATACCACGCAACTCTCTTGCCCAAGGTTAAATTCCTATATATGAGATACAAGTTAGAATAACCCATCCAGACCAGACACTGAGGAGAATATCAAATTTTGTCCCCGATCGTTTCTCTGGATTATGTATCTACTGGGGAATCCTGGTAACAACCAGTAGAGGAGAGATCCTGAAACCGTGTACATGCAAGATATGCTGGTTCGCTTTCTGGGATTTGATTTACTTCCCCTTTTTCTTTTCTTCCTCCAAGTCGAGTCGAGTTTATCTACATATGAATCCCTCACTGGGGTAATACATACTTGATAGCGCTACATACAGCCAGCAATGCAGTACTGCCAGTCAAGTACTAAAGTCCCTTTCCAACAATGATGGATATATATGATGATGGCTACTTGTCAAAACCAGCATGCGTCACAACTAAGGACCTTGGAACTTCAAGCTTAGCTTCAAGCTCAGAATCAGCCTTTCACTCCTCGCCTCATCTTTAAAAAATAACAAATGTGGCCCTGAAGAATGATATATCTTTTCAAGCACCGACAACTAATACCATCTACTACGAAATGACCGATCCCGCCTTTCACAACGTTATCAACGATTAGTAGCCATGTCTAACCTATCCTATCTACTTGACACCCACCCAATCGCGGTAGTGCATACTCCTATCGGTGAGGGCAGCTCCTCGAGCTCCTTTTCTTTTTCTCAGGCTTTGCCTGAATGTGTGGTTCTGGGCAGTGTGCTGGTAATAACAGTAACACTCGCTGATATACTACGTACACTGTGGTGTGGTGTATGAGCTTCTTCTATCCAATATAATCACTGCTGTGATCTTTATGCATATTGCTTGCTCGGGAGATAGTCTGAATACCCCTGCCCTTGACAAAGGCTGATCGACGAGATCATCGTCTGGGGTTGGTATGAGCAATGGCTTGTACCAATCCATCTGTCTAACTGGATTAATATATCCTGATATGTTGCCTAGATGGTGATGGACATTACCTGGGCACAATCACAGTTGGTCTATGTCAATTTCATTGCTGAACACCAGACATTGCTTGAGCTCAGCGCTCTTCCTGTCCTGAATAGATGGCTCTAGGGGATGCTTGTTTATGGATGGATAGCAACAGTGTGACAGTAGGACTGAGGGGGTGGGTTGGTGGGTTTGGGAAAGAAGAAACATAGATAAGGAGATAGTGATGGTGATGGGTATAATACCCACGTGGAACGATGCCAAGAGATATTCGTTGCTTTGGAGATTGGTCTGTCTTGGGTGGGGGGAAGTGATTCGAGATGTAACTTCCTTTTGGGTCATGTGCAGGTCATTGTGGTTATAGTACTTGTAGGATCAAGATAAACCCGTATCAACTTATATCCATATTTCATCAAAGACATTTTTTCCATACTTTCCATATCCTTCATAGTAGCTCATATGACCACTGGTCGTCATCTTTCACTCCTTTCTCATATCTCATATCATCATCTCCATACCGTCCTTATCATTCATCATAGTTCATATACCACTACCCCCTATACACATAAAATTTCACTCCTCCTCCCCCGGCAACCTCACATCTCCCCACCCCCTCCCACTTCCATCCCCAAACCTGCCACCACCACCACCACCACCCCCACCACTCCCCACTGCGTCACGCCCCTCCACTCACTAACATTCAACCACCCAATCCTCTGCAACCCCCCAAACCCTCCAATCCAATAAACCTGCTCGACCCTCAACCTCGCCCAATAACTACTATGCGGGGCGCCCTCCTTGCCCGGCAACCAGGCCTCCGCATCAGGATGTTTCTCAAGGAAACACTTCCTCAATGCGGTCTCCACAGCCTCCGGTACAGGCGTCTCAAACGGCTCGACGTACCCGAACAGCGTGACGCGGGGTAATCCGGCCTCGCTGAGGGGAAACCCCGGCCAGAGCGGGGAAGTGTCGTTGACGTGGTCCCACCAGTCCAGGGAGAGGGAGATGTTGGACCCCGCGGCGGTGTTGCGGAAGGTGGTGGCCACGTGCAGGGCCAGGAAGGTCGGGTTGCCGAGCCCCCTGAGGGATTCGGATTCGGATGAGGTATCGGTGGCAGGCAGGTGGGGGTCGCAGTCGGCGAGGTATTCGGTTTGGGTTGTGGAGTGGCCGGCTAGGGAAGGGGGGGTGTGCGAGTTGGGAGGGAGGGGGGAGGGGAAGATGGTTGAGGCGGTGCCGGTGCGGGAGAGGGCGAGGAGGCGGCGGGCGAGGAGGGTTGAGGTGAACCAGGATGGGGGGGCGAGGAGGTTGGTGGTGAGGGTGAGGCTGTCGGTGTCGGTGTCGAGGTTGTAGTGTGTGTCGAAGGTGGTGCTGGTGTCGGTGTCGGTGAGAGGAGCTTGTTCGGCTACAGGGCTGGCGGCACCGACGTGGAGGAGGTGGGTTAGGAGGACGAGTGTGGAGAAGAAGGTCGTGATGAGTGGACGGGCCATCATCGTGGTGGTGGATGACTGTCCTATAGATGAAAGGTAGAGTGAGGATTTTGCTTCTTCGATGAAAAAGATAAGAGGATGGATAAGGAGATAAAAGGAAAAAAGGAATAGGGGATGGCAGAGGGATAAAGGGAGGAACACGGTCACCCAGCAAGAAAGTGGTGTCACCGTGAGGGGAAGGTCACGATCTGATCTTATCTGATGTACGCTAGATTACTTCCAGTTAGTAGCTCCATGTGACTTCTAACGGTCGGCAGGTGACTTCCCGGTCGCATCCGGTGATTCCGGCCTTGTCCGACTTCGGCGCCTGCCTGAGGCCTCCGTGTGACTCACCGGAAACGCCCCGACCGTGGATGCTTCGATGCTATCTCCATCACCGGCTGACCACCACTTCTGCCATCATAGTTGCGGTGAGTCATAGTGGCGCGAGTTGATCGCCGAAGTGCCTCCGTCCGGATGCACAGACTCCGTTCACGGACGGGCTGTCCTATGTTCTACAATGTACTCATGGAAGTGGGGTGATCAGACAAAATAGTCACGGAACATGGTCTCTCACAACATCTTCGTATTGCTTATCCTCTCGCAGAGGATTGGTCCTAATAATCGAGCAGAATCCTTCGTTTGCCAGTAACTCCGCAGTAATAGTATAATGCGTTCCCTCGCCCTTCGCAACCCATGTAGTCAGATGTCAGAATAATGCAGGCGAAAAACCAGTGAAAGAAGTAGACCCGACCGTTCCCACCACACTCCAGTGCCGCAATAACAGACAAAAAATAAATAACGATAGATATGGCAAATGTGCACAGAAAAATAGTAAAGATAGCAACAAACCTCCCCAACGTACATCATACATCAGCAGTCTGCCATAGCAGTACTACTGTACAAGTAGCCTCCCCGAATCGACAACAGCTGCAGGGTATATACAAAGACGACTTTTGCTTTCCCCGAACGCGTGAATCACCTGAGAAAGTTCGCACAAAACTTTTCCCTACCGGTCTGCGTCTCTTCTGCTGCTGTTGCAACCAGACCAGATTGGTCAGAATAGAATTATTGGTATGAATGTAAACACTTTTCCGCAAAGGAAAGGAAATGATAAATGAATGAGTCCAGATATTCTGGGAGACCTAGTAATCAGCCCGCATGCTTGGGTTGAGCGCAATCTTCCTGGCCTCGCTCCCGCAGCAGGCACGCTTCATGCCCACGGGGCCCGAGAGCGGAACGTTGTAGTTCAATGCACTCAGCTGAGAAGCGGTGAGAGTTTGCGTGCGGCGGGCCTCGGGGTTCAGGAACAGATCCGCCATGTTCCCATCAGGTAGTACAGTGCCTTCAGCAAAGGTTTTGGACTTGACGAGATGACGGATTTGACCGTGCAGCATGTCCTCGGATCCGGTGCGACCGCGTTTGCGACACACACGCTGACCAGCGTTCTGTTGCTCGATCGTTTGCTGAGCGCGAGGCACAGCACCCGAAAGAGCACAAAGACTCTGTGCTGCCTCGTGAGCAGAAGACAGGTCCACCGGGGGCTCCAGCGAGTAGCCGGACATATCCGGAACCTGGCCAAGAGGACCGCCATAGGTCTCGGGCGAGCTGTAGATATCTCCAAGTGCGCCCTCATCAATGGGCGATGCGATGGCCAGATTCTTGCGGCACTCCTTGAGGGAGTTGCCAGTGCATCGGAGCGTTGCCTGAACGGCCAGGCGAGGCATAGCAGACACCCCGGTTGAAGAGCTGGATGACATGGATGACGATCGCGATGACTGCGACGACATGCTTGACACATCCGAGATCATCGAATCCGGAGATGAAGCAGAGGAAGCCGAGCGGGCCAGAGAGGACCGGCGCACCAAGTTAGGGTACCCATCAAACGTGTTAGCCCGAGGGCAAAACTGTAGTGACGGGCGCTGGTCGTAGATCGACCGCGCCGTGCACATGTTTTGCGCCTGGGACATAGCACTTTGCATGTAACGGCGGTGCGCAGGCATACCGCCAGCACTCACTGCAGGAGTGGAGGCGATGCTCGCTTGAGGCGTCATCTGCGGTGTCGGCAGCATAGCCGGCCGCGGCATGGGCGGCAATGACGGGAGGGAGGGAAGTGTGGTCTCTTTACGAGTCACCGACTCCAGCGCTTGACGCCCGCATGCAGCGATTTGCTCATGGATGGAGGGCAGGCTGACAGGCTCGTTTGTTACTTGGCCGGGAAGATCCCTCTTGAACGATGTGCCCCGAGGGGATGGCGAGTCCGACACCGAGCGGGAGCCAAAAGACTGCATGGTCGGTGTCGCGGGGCTGACGTCAAATTCCTCCAGGTCAGGCGTGAGCTTCGGGATGATCGTACGCCAACATTGCCGGTCCCCAAAAGCCATGTTACCAGCACCAGGGGTGTACTTCAGTACAATGTCAGTCCAGCGCTGAAAAAGAGACTCGGGGATATGGAGTCGCCAGTTAACCGCTTCCAGAAACATCAGTTCGTTCTGGTTGATCTCGGCCGTGTTCAAACCGGAGATCTTACTCCAAGCGCGAGCGGAATAGTTGCGATCTTGGAGATACTTGGATGCGAGGATTAGCGCTGCAAGAAACATGCGCCGCCCACACTGCATAGCCCGGCAGACGGGCTTGCCCCGGGCCTGGTCCTGAGTCGCCTCATGGCTCGGCACGTGGGGCTTGATCTTGATGAGATAGTAAAGCGCCACCTGGAGGGTACTATAGCTGGTGCGGGAGCGGCGGAGTGTCTCCTGGATGAATGTCCGCAGAGGCAGGACGCCTTTGCATCCAGTCGCCGAATCACTCCGCAGCGAGACAGCCGACAAGGGCCAAATGACCTCAACAATCTGCGACGCGGTGTCTTCACACGGTGTACTTAGTTCTGAACCTCAACCACATCATAATAAACGGACAGCTCCCCAGACTTACCGACAAGGTTATCGACAAAGTTGACCTTCCGTTCCGATTGTCTCAAAAGACACGGCGGAGGCCGCGTGCAGGAACTGTTGGTCCGCCGCGGATGCTTACGTAACTCGGGCGGAATAGCAGGATCAGTTGCCTTCGGGACCACGCCCCTTAGGTAACCGCGCGCACCGTTTGCAGCAGCCAGAGCTCTTCCCCCAGCCTGGTATTCGCCTTCATTCTCCCAGATCACATCAACCGGGTTCGTCGCGGTTGAGGAGATGGAACTCTGGGTGGACAGGCCATCTAGCGAGAAGACCGAAGAGGACGAGGAAGAGGCGGAGGAAGAGACTGAGGATGCATACGGGTGCGCATAAGCCGTTCGGATTTGGCTGTTCGGGTTTGGATCCTTCAAACCCAAAATGTCAATCCCTGACATATCCGGGATGATGTCCAGTCGAGCGACCTTGATACTTTTTGAAAAAATAAAAAGAAAAGGTCCGAAAGTACCTCAAATGGTCATCCAGAGGGCTAACAAACTTGAGCTAGCCTTCCTTCTATGCGTCGGATATGACACGAGATTGTAGATTTAAACCGTGTATGTTTTTTTCAAATAAACCGTTGTGCGTGAACCGTGAACGTGTAGCCGATAAGACAAGGAACCGTCTTTTTGATCGCAGGCGACGGCAGACCCTTAAGAGAGAAAATTCGCCAGGTTGTCGAAGATATAGTATAGTAGGACAGTTTAGGCAAGCGAGAGAACAACAATCATCTAGCACGGACGTGATATAAAATGATGCTGTTGGGTTGAAGTCGGGCGGTAGGTGTGGGTATGAGGAGGAAGCCGGTGAAGTAGTGGTACGTGTCAAGGAATCGGGAAAAGAAGAAGGGGTTTACCGTCTAATGTTCCGATCACCAGTTGGAGAGTCCCGAATAGATCAAGCCGAATATCGCGTAACCAGAGAAGACACGTAATATATTGTCAACGTGACCCTCTAGAAGGACAGATGCTGGAAGCTATTTAAACAAACGCAGCGGTCTTGCCGGAGGTTCGGAGATCTGAGGAGTCTGCAACACGGGTGATCGGAACAGAAGACTTGATAACAACAGGGTACATTTTGAGATGCGCAGGCGCAGAATGTTATATCACGGGCCGATAGAGCGGCGGACTGTCAACAAGCAGGCGAGATAACCGGCGCTTGTCCAGGCAGTCAGCAGTCGTATCGGAGGCAGAAGACAGAATAGGTTGGTGAGGCTCAAGGAAGACTGGAAGGCGAAGAAGGAACGAGTCAGCAACGATCTTATGAGTATCTCTCCACTTTAGCGCTCGTCTATGACTCTTACGCCGGATCTCACGGTGAGGGTCCAAGAGTCCGATGACTATATGGGGGGCGGAGCAATAGACAGTGACTAACTGGGGTGGCGGCCAGACTAAATCACAGGCAGAGATGGCAACCTGAAGCTAGCCGGAGGCGAGTGGAACGATGCAGCACAGAGTCAAACAGCGAGAGAGAGAAAGGAACGAAATTAACTTACGCAGCAGCCAGTGGCGAGAGTGGCGGAAGTGGTTTTGAGACTCTTGGGCGGATGCAGGGACCACGCTTCACAGTCTTTCACAAAGCGGGCGAAAAAGGGTGAGCGGAGAGGCAACGGGAAGAGCAGACGAGCCAAACAACTGAACAGGAACCAAGATACAAGGAAACTAGGTATGACTCTACACTCTCAGTCACACTTCCTTTCTAGTGAAAGAAAGAAAGAAGATGACAAGCGTGTGGAAGGGGGAGGAAGAGAGGAGGGGAGGGGAGGAATAATAGTGAGTGAAGGGCGAGAGAGGGAAGAGATGGCAAAGTAAGAGTCAAGTCCAGTCTAGTCACAGTCACAGTCAGTCAGTCAGCCCTGCTGGCAGAGGAGAGAGAGAGAGGGAGGAGGAGGGCCCGGAGTAAGTAAAGTAGAAGGGGAAGGCAGACGATGATCGGAACCAGGACGGGAGCGGATGGAGTGGAGGAACGATGACTCTTCACCCCCGTCCGAGATAGGGACTGCCCACTACTGGACAACTTCTGGGGCCCGGGTTGGGCATGGAGGCTTTTCAGTTTGGTTTGGTCTGGTTTCTGGTTCTG